GACAGGGGTTGAGAGTGAGATGGGGAAAGTGAAAATGAGCTACTGTTTGAGTGAGGCGTTGACCGATGGGGCCTTTGTGTGTGCGTGTTTGTGTGTTTGTGCGTGTGTGTGTTGAGTCAAGGTATGGGGGTGGGGGGTGGGATGTCTGATAAAGTCCTGAGTGGATGCTGACACAGCACACGCACACAAACACAAACAGCCCTCTGGCAGTGGTGAAAGGGCCTGCAGGTATTGATCACAGCCACTTTTCAGGCTCAGCATAGCATCAGAGAGAGCAAGGGATCGACCCCTGGCTGCAATAGTCCCTCGCCAAACCAGAACCGCAACCAAACTCCGAAAATGTAACAATCAACCATTTCTGGCTTTGATATATTCGAGCAAACTCTTTATTTAGTGGCCTACAAGCGCGCAGCATCTAAGAATTCATCATCACACATGAAATCCCCGCTGTGCCACTCTGCTTGAAACAGCTACACCTACACTGTTAGCTCGGGGGAAATTTCTCTTTGTGTACGTCTCTTAACTTCTCTCTTCATCCTCAGAGCCGGGCCAGTGGCAGCTGGTGATAGTGTCAGCGTGTGTTGGATCTGGTGACAGAGGAGCCAAATTTAGCTCTGTGGAGATGACTGAGGCCAGTCCGTCTTCCGCCCTGGCCACCCACACCTCCCGTAACATAATCAGTAATCAATAAGTTATTCTGGGCAGCCAGGAGGAGTATTAGGTGATAGTGGTGGGGGGTCCTCAACAGTACAGTACAATCAGGAGTGTCTGATGCTTACGGCTGGGAAATTGATTTTAGGGGAGCGAGACGATTAGTCAATGTTCCCTGGACAAAAGGCTAAGCCATTCCATCTCATCTCATCTGGCCTTAGTAACATATTAGGATTTCCAATGCTTAAAATTTGAATAATGAATATTCCACTCTGCTGGAGCTCCGCCGGGGACAGCACGCTGAAATGGGTTTTATATGATCAAGCCCGAGTGGCAGTGTACCACAGGTCGCAGCAGTAATGAGATATGCTGGTGTTATCGATGGAGAGAGGCTTGTAGTCACTTCCTGACCGTATTGTATGTCCCCGGGCCTCTAGCTGTGGCTCTCTGACTGAACCCAGTTAAAAGTAATTATTATTGGTTAACTCTTTTTAAAAACCCAAACTGACCGCGGACAGAGACAGCAGAGCAAGCTGTTTTCCCATCAAACGGTGTAAGATGTTGCCTCTGTGGAAAGCGTTTCACTTTTATCTGACGCTGCATTGTCAGAGTGACTGGTCAGGCTCTAAAAAGCTGGCACAGGTATGCGGGAAGTCAGGTACTTGGGGGAGGATGGGGGCAAATGTTGCTGCTTTATCAATAAATAGGTAACCTGATAGGCCATTAAGTGCAAACGCAGGCAAGTTGGATTTGATGAGAGTGAGGTTGTAAATTTAGATTTGTGGACGCGATGAAAACACTCAGCAAACCGGATCTCGGGCGAGCGGCGAGAGGGCATCTGGGGTAGAGGACAGCCAGAGGTGGGGCGGGGGGTTTTGAAGTGGGCAGAGTGGAGAGAAGGTCAAACAGAGGCAGCGTGGGGAAAGTTAAATTGGATCGGGTTGATAGAATATTATCATAGGATTCAGCGTCACTCACTTTGTGTTGCAAAGTTCTCCCAAGGTTAACTGTAATGAGCAAAAGTACTGACTACAATTGAAACTCTAAGCCAAGGTGTTTGGGGTTTTAAAAGCCCTGGGCTGTATGTTCATTTTGCAGGCTATATTCAAACCCCAGATCTGGCCATTTCCATATCATTGATGGGCCATGTGAAAGCCATCTCCAACCATCAAAGGCAGAGTAGCACAGCCTCAGCTCTATCATCATTTACATCATTGAAATCACATTCACCGGGAAGCTTCACTCATAAGCGGAGCTCTCAAATTCTCCCTCATTCATTGGGCCTCCTTCTCTCCATCCCTGTTCCCGGTGTTCCATCTGTCAGCTGGAACGTGGCGTGGACTATAGCAGGCCGTGCCTGGCCCGTAGTCTACATTATGGATTAGACATAGGGTCATGGATAGGGCCTTTTTAATGAAATAAGCAGCAGGTCGTACAGTGGGTCTTTATAATGGAATAAGGGAAAGGCTCTAAGCTCAGGAAAGAGGCAACTAAGTGGATTAGGGGCCAAGACAGAGAGGAGGAGATGGAGCAGGATGAGGAGTCTGCAGCGTTTCTCTCCCCTCGCTCATAATCGCTGCAGCGTCGAGTTCGCTTCTGCCTAACTTCTCAATTTGATTTGATTGGCTTATGGAAGAAGATGACATTTAAGAGAAGCCAAGTAGTCTGAGTGTCTCTTACTTCTCATTGTCAGTGAGCTGAGTAATGGGTGCGATTTGCGCAGGTACATTACAGCACTGATTATGTTTCTAGAAAACATTAACGATCCTGGTATGCAGCTGGGGATATAAATTCAGATTTTAAATATTTGTGTGCACATAATTTG